TAGACGAACGAGAGACTCCTTTTTGCTTCTTAGACGACCAAGAAATCAGATGTGACCCAAGATAAACGATATATGCCCCCGTAGAGGAATAGTCATCTTTGTCTCCTCCCCAATCCGCATCAGAATAGGCAGATAGTTCTAAGGAAGCATTCACCGAAAACCACAAACCATGTTCAATAGTCCCGACAAGATAGCGCAGCACTCTCTTAACAGCATCCCAATGAACAGTAGTCGGAGAATGCATAAACTGAGATAAACGATTGACCGCAAAGCCAATGTCAGGACGTGTGAGAGCAAGATATTGAAGACTTCCTACCGCAACACGATACTCCGTCGGATCAGGTAATTTAACACCATCAGACACGGTGAGAGTTGTGGAAGAAGCCAATTGGTTTAGAGTTGGAAGACCATGTTAAAAGCTCAAATCTATCATGGGCTTCCAACTCAAAACCAATTGGCTATGAGTGGAGTGGCCCATATCCCTTATATATTACTTAAGATCACTTCCAACTTCCGATGTGGGACATTATGTCTTAATACGCCCCCTCAAGATGATGGCTCTTTGGCCATTAATCTCGGAATGTTCGGGCTTAGATCGACAACATCAATTTTGGGCCTTGTCGATGATTGGACCATCTTTGGGTCGGATCGGGGAGATAATTCATTGATGTCAACTTTGTGATGTTTGACATGTTCACGGCGATGAGAGTTGGGGTTGCACTATCTATGTCAAAGATAGGTACTCTCGAATACGTTGCAACTGACGATGAGACTTCTTCCCTCATGTTGATGATTGAAGAAAGAACCGGTAAAAAGAGACGCTAGGTCTGTAACGGCGGTGGCTAGGTGAGGCGTGAAGAAAAAAAAAATTAGGGTTTTTGTGTTTTGATCGATTGCTCTGATACCAAGTAAGATTGGTAAAATTGTATATATTAATGAATAGAGAGGCCTCTATATATAGGCTTACAAGAGAAGATTCTAGAGGATATACACAAAAGATTTACATAACAAGATTTGGAAGATTTACATTACATTTATCTATTACTCTAACACCTTCTTCTTCTTTCCCTTTTTCTTTTTTTTTTTTTTTTTTTTTTTTAAGAAACGAAAGTAGAAATTAAAAAAACCAATGAAGTATATATATTTTTTTTTTCAACAGCTTATATTAAAGTTTAAAAGAGCCATTCCTGGGAATGTTGTTTACATATGTGATATGAAGCGGTTTGGTACGAACTTGTCGAGCCAATTTATCCGCTTTTACATTTGCGCTACGAGGAATTAAAGATAAAGAAAAGCTTGAAAATTCTTCCCTATCACTCTGAAAGTCCTCCAGATACACTGAAAAAGCCGGCCATTCGGTTGGGGAAGACACCATCTTCACCAAATCTGAACAGTCTGTAAAGAAAGCTACATCTTGGTTGTCGGCACCAAAAATACACTTCATCGCCCAAAGAAGAGCTTCGACTTCTGTATGTAGAGGAGATAGACTTCTACGGATGTTGGCAGCTCCCATGGTTGGCATCTCTCCATTTGATGATGTACAATACCATCCTGTTCCTGAAAAAGTATCGGTTCCTTTCCATGATCCATCTATGAAACAACGATATCCTAGATAATTAGACTCCAGTGAGATTTCCCTCACTCGGTTTCGATTTTCATTACCTAAAAAACCATGGTTATCAGTATGAAGCTCATTTTGAGCTAGCTGCCATGATTGCGCCTCTTTCTCCGCCAAACGTAAAACCTCTAATGGATCTTTATCCACATTTTCAAAAATCTTTTCATTCCTTGCTTTCCAAATGTACCAAAGTATCCATGGATAAGAGGATGAATCTATCTCTGAAGGTATTCTCCAAAATAGGTGATCCAAGTTCTCGTAAATAGAAGACGTAGGGAAAATCCCCGGGACTGAAGGAATTTGAGAAAGAGCCCAAATTTGTCTCGTTGGATGGCATTCAAAAAGTGTATGGTTAACTGTTTCCTCTGTGGTGCCACATTTAACACATCCGGTATCACATTTTATACCTCTCTTTCGCAGATTCTCCGTAACCGGTACACAACCTGATAAAATTTGCCAGAAAAAATGTCGTAACTTAGGTGGACACTGCACCTTCCAAGCATATGCTTTTAGAGGTTTTATATCTGGGCCAAATGATTTTGAACTGGCATCCAAATGCTCTATCCGAGTCGTATGGTAACCAGATTTAACCGTATATTTTCCAGATTTAGTGTAATGCCAACCAAGGGTATCCTCTTTAGTTGACGCACCCAAAGGCAAGGCACTAATCAGCGCGACATCTTCTGGATCAAAGAGCTCCCTCAAGAGATCCATGTTCCAAAAATTTGACCGGCTGTCGACAAGGCTATTAACTTTCAAAGATGGATCAATAATTGAACCATTACTTTTTGCTGGTCTCGGGAATTGAGCTGGTATCCATGGATCCTCCCATACTGAGATGGACGCCCCAGAACTAACTCTTTTAATAAGTCCTTTAATAACCAGAGATCTAGCTGACAATATACTTCTCCAACCATAAGAAGGAGAGTATGATTTTATATTATCCAATGGATTGGATTTCCGAAAATACCGTCCTTTAAAAACCTTTGCAAAAAGTTAATCAGGAACCGTAATCAAACGCCATAATTGTTTTGCGAGTAACGCCGAATTAAAATCATCTACATTCCGAAATCCTACACCACCTTCAGATTTACTACTACATAACTTATTCCAAGCCATCCAGTGCATTCCTCTCGACTCGCCGTTAGAACTCCACCAAAACTTAGCAACCGCACTTGTAAGTTTAGAAGTAATTGTTTTTGGTAACCTAAAGCAAGACATAACATATGTTGGCAGTGCCGCAGCTACCGATTTAATCATAACTTCTTTCCCACCTTTTGATAAGAATTTGGCTGACCAACCATTTATTCTAGTCTGAAGTCTGTCTCTGACAAAAGAGAAGATCTTTGTCTTCGATCCACCAAGACTTTTAGGTAAACCAAGATAAGATCTCATACCTCCAAGATTATGAATTCCCAAAACCGCTTTTATTTCTTCCTTCATAGAAACATCCACTTTATGGCCAAACTGAATCGAAGATTTTGAAAAATTAATTTGTTGTCCTGAAACCGCTTCATATTGCTTTAGAATCCCCAAAATTACTCCGCATTGTTCTTTATTGGCTTTGCAAAAGAACAAACTATCATCAGCAAATAAGAGATGAGATACCTAAGGGCTAGCTGTGGATACTCTAATACCAGTAATTAATTTTTCTTGTTCCGCTTTCCTTATATCCGCAATAAGCACCTCCGTACAGAAAATAAATAACTAAGGAGATAAAGGATCTCCTTGTCTTAATCCCCTTTCCGGAATAATTAGTCCTCGAGGTTGTCCATTAAGAAGAACTCTATATTGGACTGTAGTGATACACCACATCATCCACGAAATCCACTTTTCGCAGAATCCCATCTTCCTCAATAATTCTTCGATAAACTTCCATTCAACCCGATCGTAAGCCTTGTTCATATCCGTTTTAATAGCCATAAATTTTTCTTTACAGGACTGGTTAGTTCTCAGACCATGAAACATCTCCTGAGCTATAAGAATATTATCTGAGATTAGTCGCCCTTCTACAAAAGCCGATTGGGTTTCCGAAATAAGTTTTGGTAGTACCGTCTTAAGTCTTTGGCAAAGAATTTTTGAAATAACTTTATAACCAACATTGCAGAGACTGATGGGCCGTAATTCCGTCATCCGAGTTGGTCGCTCCGTTTTTGGAATAAGACATATATTAGTCGTGTTTAACCGCTTATCGAAAACTCCATCTTGTAAAAAAGAGTTAACGAGGATCAACAAGTCCGCCTTAATAGTAATCCAGGCTTTCTGAAAAAACAAGGCTGTCATCCCATCGGGCCTTGGCGCCTTTTCTGGATGCATCATATATAAAGCCGTTCGGACCTCACATTCTGTCGCGGGAGCCGTCAAAAAAACATTTATCTGATCCGTTATCAATGTTTTCACCTCTGTAGAGACTCCTCAAAAGCATGTGGATTAGATGTAGTAAATAAATTTTAAAAATAAGAGACCGCTATGTTTTGAATATCTTTATCCTCCGCAGACCATATCCCGTTTTCATCATGTAAACCGGTAATCCGATTCCTTGCACGCCTCTGTTTTGTCAGAGCATGAAAGTATTTCGAATTATTATCCCCTAGTTTCATCCAAAAACTCCTACTTTTTTTATACCAATATAGTTCTTCATCTCTGTAAGCCTCTTTCAACCGCAATGTTAATTCCGTAATCTCCTCACGTGATCTCGTATCATCTCTCTGAGCTACATCGAGTTCTGATTTCAGATCCTCTATTTTTTTCCGTCCATAAGGAGATAATTCTTTCCGCCATTGAGAAATAGCCCTTCTACAGTTAGTCAATTTTTCCACAAATTGTCCCTCCTCATCACCGGAATTGAGATTCCACCCACTTGATATTGCCTCTAGTAACCCCTCTTTTCCAATCCATCTTTTATCAAACCGAAAAGATCGTTTACTCCGTGGTATCTTATCTACGATTGTGGCTATAACCGGAGAATGATCAGAAGCTACCATTTGTAAATATTCAACGAAAGAATTGGGGAATAATTCATGCCAATCCTCATTTGCTAACGCTCTATCTAACCGACACCGTATATGTTTTTTATCCCGCCATCCCCTCCAAGATAACCAATCTACGAGATATGGAAAATCCAAAAGTCCACAATCGTTTATCATTAAATTAAAAGGGATAAAGGAAGAAGCATGTCTCAATTTGCCACCTCTTTTTTCATGATTTCCGGTTAATTCATTGAAATCTCCTATCAAAAACCAAGGAGTATCCCGAGATATCCCGATCCGTGTTAACCGTTCCCAAACTTGGTCTCTATTTTTTGGTACCGGATCTCCATAAACAAAAGTAAGATTGATTATTTTTCCTTTATAAATAGCCTCAATATCAATTAAACGATTACTTTCATAAATAATTGAAACATTGTAATCATTATTATAATAAAGAACTAAGCCCCCACTACAACCGATAGGATCTACCGTTTTAAAATTTTTATAACCAAAATGACCAACAAATTTTTCTATAAATAACGAAGATTGTTTTGTTTCCGAAAGAAACAAAAAATCCGGCCGATGTTGCTTCCACAAATCCCGAAGATACCCGATAGTTGCCTTATTTCCGAGACCTTGACAATTCCAACTTAAAACTTTCATTTATCAACCTTTAATATAGGTGGGTTGCGTCCATCCGTGAAGCCCTTCACCATATCATGGTATATCAGGTTCTGACCTTCATTCACTTGATTTGCAATAGACCTCGACGTAAAACATACGTTTATAGCAAGTCCTTTTTTACCAACCAAGTACCAAAGTTCCGAGATAGCATATAACCAGTAATATTTTTCCATGATCTCCATCACCAATACACCATACGAACCAGAGATAAAACAATTCATTCCTTTTATCATTACTTCAATAACACAGACATATATGATCCGAGAATTGAATTTAACATAATAGCCTAAAATAAAAACCTTACAACAAAACCTCTGATTTGCTCCTTGATGATAACCCATACCCACCGGCGGGCCAACAGATTTGGAGGAACTCTTACTCCTTGATGATAACCCATACCCACCGGCGGGCCAACAGATTTGGTAACAACCATGCCGTGAATCTGGTGTATACCTTGTAATCCGTATCTCCTTTTTGTATCTCTTCTAATATGTCCTCAACGTTTAACCCATATTCATCCTCCGAAGAAAAACCACCTAAAATTAATTTCTCCAACCGTGAACAATGTTTCCCCTTTTGATCGGAGATTTCAACCGAAATATTTCGTTCCCGACCCACAAAATTGTGACTATAAGAAACCTTGTAGCTCACCAAAGATCTCTGAAAGAGATCAATCATCAAGAACGGATGATAAATCATCTCAAATACGAGAAGATTTGAAAACCACAAACCGTTTCCTTGTGGAAACCTCTGCCCTATAGCCCATCTCCAAGACTTTGACTGCTCCACCGACCACCCATCCACACCTTCCAAACCCCCATAGAACCAGATGGGAGAAGCTTCTCGATTTGATCCAGAACCTGCATCCAATTTCGAACAAAAACCTCTATAGACCGAAAACGAAAACCTAACAAAAGGAGTACCAATCTCATATATCAACCAATTGAAGACCCAAACCAACACCAGAGAACCACTAAGAATCACCGGAAAACCATTGGGGCACCTCTCCGAATCTTCCATAACCAAATAGATCCGATAAAAACCGAGCCATTTAGGCTCAGACCGGACACCCACATAAACCAATCGAAACTCAATCTCAATCACCACCAGATCTGGCCGCAAAACACCTTCTGGCCGCTCCAATCGCAACGTCATGTTAAAACCCTAGTGTCGCCATGTCTGTCGCCTCTCTCCCATTCGACATTTTTAATTGAATTATTATTATTTCAATGAAGTATATTTGATTTTTCAAAACAAAGACTAAATATATACTAGCAAAATAAAGAGACAAAGCTCAAAACATATATATATATTATTAAAGAAAATCAATGGAGTATGTTTGATTTTTCAAAACAAAAGAACGAAATAGGATCAAAGCTCTGATACCATGATAGATTTTGGAGAAAACCTTAGTAATAGAATAGTTTCTCTCAATTTCATTCATTAGCCAATAGGCTTATTTATACAAAGATATTACTTGCATAGCAAGTTCTTTATATATATGATAATAGTAAATCTACCTATTTAACAATAAGAAGATATACACAAATGTTAACTTTTCTAATAATAATAAGAAAAAAAAATTCAACTCGATCTTGTAATCCCGAGATCTCTCATCCACCGTCGATCTTCTGATCTACGCTTCTCTTTCTCCCCATAGTAATCATAGTTTCCTTGATATAAATAATAAGAATTCCATCTTCTCTTGGGTATCAATTTCATCGATGTTTTATAAGATCCAAAAATCAATACAATATTCATTCACTTGTTAGAAAATTCAATTGATATTGGCTTGTTTTTGCAATGGGAAATGATTTCTTCCATTGCAGCTACTGAAGGGTCACCGGTATTCCGACGAAACATTGTTTAAATATTATATAACTCTTCAACACATACACATGTATATATTGGTTAAAATATAACATAGCATTCATAAGAAGAATATATAATAGAAAGATTTTATTAATTTAAATAGAAGAATATATCAATCTTTAATAAGTTTCACGACGACATTTGAAAGAACAAATGTATACATCAACACCGGCCTTGGAAAACTTAAGAATAGAAGGGAGCTTGCATCTAGCGTTACACACAAAGCAAAATGGTCTACAAATAGAGGTGTTGGATACCACTTCTGTGTTCGTGAATGTTGAACCTGGCTTGATATATGAGAAATCTCCCACAACGCAAGAAATATGTAATGTAGTCCCACAATCGTTGCATGTATAGAACCATTCCTTTGAATTCACTTTTGTTTCACATGCCTCACACCAATATTCACCATTCACATTCATGTCACCAAAAGACAAGAAGAGAGGATGATCATCGTATCTATTATTCATTACTTTTTCCGGTAAAAGAGCACATTTGCCTTCCAAACTATAGTCACACTCATCACATCTAAAGACCGAATTCTTCTTCCCACATCTACTACAATTCTTATATGTATTAGAATAGTAATATAAAGAATGTTGATGGCTTCCGTGCTCAAGTGTATCTGAAATTGCAGCGCATCGTACATCTATAATAACAGAATGGCTAGATTGATACCTGAAACCGCTGAATTCTTGTAAACAAAGCCCACATTGATAAACTTCGCCGTCATTTGTGAGTAGTGTAAATGGCAGGTTGTTGTACACATGACGTTTCTTCCGTGGATGGTTAGCACATTTTTCGTGGAGAATAAAATTACATTGCTTACAACTGTAGAACGGTTCTGATAAAATCTGGAGGACACATGCTTCACAAACAATGTTTTCAGGTAGAATTCGGCCATAGCGATCTTTGTTGATTCGTAAGATATGATCATGGCTAAAATGTTTTATAGTGTTATCGTCAATCACCTCGAATGGCGCAATTTCATCTTCTTCAGGCATCCCTTCTAGCTCTATCATGTCCCATATATCTTCTCTCGTTGCACATCGTGAATGAACAACAAAACTAGGACATTTGACGCAAGTATAACCCCCATAGAATCCATCTACTTTTTGACGGCAAACTTTGCATATCCACTTTCCATGTCCAAGTCGAGAGGTGTAAGAGATGCGATGATCGTGGTGGTTGATGTTTATGACACGTGGTAAATCGATACACTGCCGATGAATCATGATATTACATTGAAGACAGAAATAAGGACTTTGTTCACCTAGCGTCCCACAAGCATTGCAAGTGAAATGGATGCGTCTTGGAACAAGATGAAGCTGATATTCATTGATAACATACATAACATAGTTTTCCATAGAAAAGTGGAGAGTCGCACGTTTTGCACTTTCTCTGTCTAACGCGCTTGGAAGAGTTCCATACATCGAAGAGTTCTAGTGGATGCTCGTGCACATTGGAGTTTTCAAGAATAGGAAGTGGAGCAGCTTCCTTTCGCACAGTGTAAATCCAACTTGAAGTCACACATTGAACATATATAGATATAGCTTTCTTTAAACAGATGTATTCCACATCGATTACATGTAGATGCTTTGTCGTTTAGGCGAAGATTGAGAGGATGATCGGGATGAGAGAAGTGCTTTATTTCTTGTAAAGACTCAGCACACTCTCTATGAAACGCAGGAGTCTCACACCCCAACTCATTGCAACGGTAGCCTCCGTAGATGTAACCATAAGATCCACATCCGTTACAGCCGCGACGAGAAAAAAAACGAGTTATAGGTAACAAAGGATGTTTGTGAATTGGTAGCTTTGCTTTTTCCATGGTGATTTGATTTCCAAAATCGACATCACAGCTTTCTTTCGGATTTCTCAAAGCTATGAGTCTGGCCACAGCTCATACACCACGTGAAATGGTTCTTCCTATAACAACTAACATTTATTAGTAAAAATTATATTTGTAAATTAATCCCAACACCACGTGAAATGGTTCTTGATCTGTTTTTGAAGTTTTAATGCTCTGTTTTGTAAAAGAAAAAAAAAAAACGAGTCTCTTAACAAATCCATAAACAATTGATGCTACGACGGTGAATGATATAGGAGAGTCGCTTATTTAGTTTCCAGTATATTGTTTTTAACAAAATACTTGAGTATTGTCGTATTATTAATTAGCTAATTTAGAAAACGAAATGATTAATCGGTCAACATATCAAACTCATTGGGTTAAGGGTTGGTTTACCCATGTTAACACCCTTAATAGAATCCAAGACAACCAACCCAATGTAAATAAGAAAACCTTAGGGAAAATAGTAATATTGAGCTTTCACTAATAATTTTTCCCCAAAAAGGTTTTTGTTACTTTATAAAATGATATGAGACTCTTGATTTGGGTATCTCCGTACTACCGATTTGGATCGGGGCTACTAAAATTGTAACTCTATCTTTTTGAGGCTCAAGTGGAAATGATCTTATCCATCAAGTTTAAACTAAGGTACACGTGGTGTAGAGTGATTTTCCCAAACATGAAACGAGTTTTAGTCCACACACATGATATCTTGAGTTTAGACAATGTACTTAAACATCCCATTTTCTTGTATTGACTTTTTTGAAATACACTTTTCACCTTTACGTTGATAACTTTTATTCAATGAATGAAAATGTTTATTTAGAGCAACCCCTCATCAAATTTTATTACTAAATCATTGAAAGTTAGTGATTTGAAAATGAAAATTCACTTGGGTTAAATGTACGGATGTGATTTTAATTAAAGGGTCGCATATTCTTCTCATCGAGGTGAATATAAAACTTCAGCATATAACATATATATTCACAAATGTTTTAAGACATGGTAGGAACAAGAAGCACGGCTTAATGATTTAGACAAGAATGATGTAATCAATAGTAAATCATACGTGTAGAATAATCTCTATTTTCTTAATACTCACAAGTCACCGGAAATTTATGATGTTTAAGTTGTCCATTAATGATTTAATAGTTGAAAAAATCGTACACGTTTGAACGATATGGTTTAAGATCTACCTATAAATGTTCTTAAAACCAAATATCTGAAACATATAGAATCATGATACATATATAATCTTTATGGTCTACAATGCATATCACTTTGACTTTGGCTCATCAACGGTAGAGTAAGGGTGACAAAGTGTTCCAAACAACCAATCCATGAGAATCGTGTAATTTCCATAGTTATAACGATGCATGATGTGATGCATTGTATGATAATCAGCGGTCAAGAACGGCCACATCTTGGTTTCGAGACAACCGTGAGTGGTAAATGTCCAAATCCCATTGATGGACAAGAGGATTAATTCGGTCTTGAAGTGCATTGGCACAAAGAAGAGGAAGATAGTGTAAGGTAACGCATCTAGTACTGCTTCAACGGGATGACTTGCCGCTCCTACAAATATTGTTTTTTGTTTCCATTAGTTCTTTTTTTTTTTTTTCATCGTTTCCATTAGTTCATAAGTTGTAAGTTGTACACGCAAACGTTAATGCATAAAATCATTCAACTATATATTCCTAATGAAAATTTAAATTTATTGGAGATAAGCAAGATGTGTATCTTGCGGACCAATTAATATAGACCGTTAAAGTCCATTATGAAGTGAAGCCCAAACCGAAGAATATTCTAGATCTCTATATTACTTCTTGTACAAACTATTTTCTTATGTGTTTAGGAAAGTTTACATTATGTGGGTGTTAACATTATGTTAATGTTAACACTATATATATGTATTTTGTGTTCTTATATAAAACACAACTCAATAATATATATATATATATATTTTTTTTGTCAACATTTGGGCCACAACTGGCCGGCCCATTAGCCTAATTTCTACAATTAAATTGTAGAGTCGGGGACTCGATCCCTGGTGTGATGATGTCTGTCTTCTGTGGACTTATCATTTGCCACTAGACCAAGATCACTTCACACTCAATATATATATATATACTCAATAATATATTATATTTTATAATATTTGACAAAATTTAATAAGTTGTAAATGAAAATAGATAATGACATGTATGTTAACCTGCAAAAGGTGATAGAGAGGTCTTGGTGTTGAAGCGATGATGAACGAAATGAAAATGCTTATAGAGAGGCTTCACGTCATGCAAAGCTCTATGAGTCCAATATATCCAGAACTCCACCAGTATTATGTGAATAATAGTATGAGTGATATAAACGATTGGACCAACTTCGGTTATTGAAAAATAACACTTTGTATAACCTTTTTCTATAAAATATTCAGAGATCGTTGGAACCATTGAGACCCATGGCATCGCTTTCATCGACACGTGAATTTGCAACATTATTGATTTTCTCGAGGGGATAGCTTCTGCAATATGTGATATGTCAATCATTAATAAATGTAAGTGGAACCAACATAGGTAAAAATAATTGTAAGTGGAATGGTTGAATGGTGATGAATATTTTATGGTTTTTAAAACTCAAAAATCTTGTTATTTTTGAAGGTAGTGTCCTTTTGTTTTAGGTTTGTATATGTAGTTGAAAATTTAAAAACATTTTTGGTATGTGTTCCAAAGTTCAAAAACACTAAAAACCAAACACTACCAAAGTACCAATCAACAACTACATCCATTTCCCTTTTAGCAAAATATAAAAAAATATAATACATCCACCCTTTTCGCCTTAACTTTCCCTTTTTAGTAAAAACTATTTAATTTTGTTTTTTTTCTACAAAAAGGAAACTTAAAAACTCAAAATCCAAAATCTAAGAACGAAAACTAAAACTAGATGTTCTACAAAAATCTCTAATACATTCAAACTATATATCTAAAATGTACCTTTAGATAAATGAACATCATGCTTCCAATGGTAGAAATAGAAACACCAAAGAGAGCATATGAGGAAGTAGGTGACTAGAGAGACGATGTAATTACGTGCCCACGTCTGCACGACATGTGGCAATGGCGACCATAAGGCTGCCGGGAAGAAACTTCCGACTAGAGTGTTGTACGACGCCGTTTCTTCCACTAAACGCTGCAAATAGTGCTCCTGCATTATTGCTACTCTGATATCTTTAGAATGATATTTTTTATGCATATATGTATATATATAGTAAGAAGTGGACCAGGCCAACGTTTCTTGAAGTCTAAAGGAATCTCAAAACAAAAGTTTCAGTGTGATTCAGCTCTATCTACCAAAGAATTGTCTTTGTTCCATTTTCCCATTAAAAGCTTTATGACTGGTAGGTGGAGTAATGGAAATGTGAGAAAAAAAAAGAAAAAAAAAATTGAGAGAGAAAAATTATTTCTAGGCATGAACAAAATACCCAGAACCGAAACCGAAATCGACCCAAAAAAAGAGAACTGAACTAAACCTCGAACCGATAAAATAGTCGAAGAGATCCTAGACTCCTATACCCGAAGAACCGGAACCAAATCAAAAACTGAATGAATACCCAAAATAGCCAAAATATAATTTTATATATCTAAATATTAATTATATTTAGACTTAGTATAAATAACCAAAATACTCAAAATAACCAAAGTCTTCGAAAGTTCTTAGTTATGCTTGGTCAAAATTTAACCAAATTTTATTTAAATTTAATCATTTACATTAAATTAATTTTTTCAGATTTAAATTAATTATTCTTATTTTTATTTTTTCCCCAATATTTCAAGTATACTTTTGAACCGAATTTTTAAAATACCCTTACTCTCAAACTTTTTGTATACACTATAGAATGGATATAAATCCTTCTACTTGAAATACCAAGATTTGAATTGTTCCTAGTCGGAACCAAAACGAATACCCAAATGTTTTGACTAGTGGATACATTGACTATTTTTTCTTATCCCATTTCTTTTATTCTATTGATATTTTGTAAATTTTTTGTTTTGTTTTTCATTAAGACTATTTACATTGGTTGAAATATTACATCCCTTTTCCATCTTTTAACATTCGACATCATTTTTCCTCTCTTCCAAAGCATACTTCAACACCCCCATTAATTTTTATTCAATACGTTGATTTTGTTTGATAAAATTACAACATCATACCCTAAAATTTATATTTCATATTTTTAAATTTTTTATGTTTTTGTTTTCTATGGTTACAAATTTTAGGTGTTAAAAGGATTTTTTTTTTTTTGTCATCAGTGTTAAAAGGATTATTATTGGGATCCATTTCATTTAAACAATGTTTTAAGCGAAATACAAAAATATTTTGGATGCTAGTTGAATAAGTATCGATAAAAGATGATTTTTTTCTGTGTCAAAAATAAATGAAACAAGTATCTATTATTGTGTACGAAAATGATAAATTTTGATATAAAAATTACATAATTATAATTATTATGAAATAATTGAGATGAAAAAAAAATCAAGAATATGAGTATCTAATCAATTCGCTCCACATGTCATAATCTATATATTTATCTAAGAAAAATATCTGAACGACAATAATCTTTTTCAGCCCAATCAAAATATGCCATGTCACATAAGAATTTTTTTTTTTTTAACGCTGTTGAATTTTATCAACACTTTAAGTTTGCCACATCATTATTGTGTTTTCAACAAGGAAAAACTACAAAATCTACCACTTATTCCCAATTTCTTTCAAAAGCTACCACATTTCTTCCCTTCTTTCAATTCATACCACATTTTGATGTAGAGTTACCATTTTGCCCTCCCTTTTTATCTTCCTTTTTATATTTCCTCCATAATTATTTCTCCTCCCTATTTATCTCTCCTCCCTATTTATCTTTCCTACAACATTAGCTTCTCTATTTATCTATCTCTCACTCGAAACACGTGCACTTTAACCAAGAAACATTATATCTCCTGAGACTAAACAATTAACTTTCGTTTTTGTCTCCAGATCTTGTCTCCGATTGGAAATTCTCTATTGCGTCTAGATCTTATCCCCGATTTCATCATCTTGCTCTATTATCATGAATTCCACATCTTGTCCACCAATTGTTCTCATTTAAGGGTTTCGAATTTTATTTAGATTTTTCACCATCTATTTTGGTCAACAAATTAGTTGAGCATTATTGTCTTCACCTACCCTGATTATTGAATTTTTTTTTCTTCTATTGCAAAATAACAAAAAGATCCAGTTGTCCCCGAGTACTATTACTCATTCTATTACTCATTCGATATGAACTTGTCCCCGATCTAATTCTATTACTCATTCGATCTGAACTTGTCCCCGATCTAATTCTATTACTCATTCGATATGAACTTGTTCCCGATCTAATTCTATTACTCATTCGGTCTGAACTTGTCCTCGATCTATATCTATTACCCATTCGATCTGAATTTGTCCCCGATCTAATTCTCTTACTCATTCGATCTGAACTTGTCCCCGATATAACATATTCGATCTGATTCTCTTACTCATTCGATCTGAACTTGTCTCCGATCTAATTCTATTACCCATTCCATCTGAATTCGATATGAACTTGTCGCCGATCTAATTCTATTACTCATTCGATATGAACTTGTCCCCGATATAATTCTATTACCCATTCGATCTGAACTTGTCCTCGATCTAATTATATCACCCATTCGATCTGAATTTGTCCATGATCTAATTATATTACTCATTAGATCTGAATTTGTCCCTGATATAACATATTATTTAAATAACCGTGCAGCATTTATTGCAGACCTGCTCCTTCTTTGGAAGCGCCAGACAAAACTGTCTCTGTCTCTGACACAGACTCTGTCCATGACACAGACTCTGTCCCAATCAGGGGTATTTTGGTCCAGCATTCCACATGTGCTATTGAAATATGGTAGATTTTGAAAGCTTTTTGAGATTGTGGTAGATTTTGAATGCCAATTGTTAAAATGTGGTAGATTTTGCAATATTCCCTTTCAACAAACCTTTACAACCATTTCAATTGTTAAAATAATTTAACTGTTGTTGAAAACACCATTGTACATAGTTAATAAAAAAAAATTAAACTAAATATGTATATTTATTTAAATAAAAAAACTCAAATCTATCAATTTAATTTTCAAAAAAAAAAAAAAAAGAATATCAAATATTTTCCCGCTCATAGAAAATTTTGAAACAGGTGAAATAAACAAAACAGATCTAACTCTCACATTCACAAGAGCGTCGTCGATTCGAAAAATTCACCAACACTTTGTTTTTCTCTCCAAAGAAATTTCAAATTTCTCAGCGAAAAATGGGCGAAGAATCCGAAACCGCCATGGCTTCTCCAGATCGAAACCTAACCCAGAAAATCGCCAAGATCCTAAACGAGACTCGCACATCATACGCTACTCACAACAGGAAGCTAAAGGAACTCGCCACAATCCGTTCAAAGCTATCTTCATCTGAATCCGAGTCTTCTTCTTCTATTCGTCAATTCTCTTCGGTGTTTTTCAAAACCCTAACCCCTCTTTTCATCGCTGCTCAACGAAGAACCGCTGCAGCAGAGCGTGTTGTGCGATTCGCGGCGGAATTTGCTTGTCTTCGTAGTAATTCTGATGATGATTCCGATTGCGACGAGTTTCTAGAGGAATTTCTAAGGTTTTTGGTGGTTGGATCTGTGGCTGCGAATAGAAACGCTAGATTCAGAGCGTGTCAGATAATTTCTGAGGTATAAGAGGATTAGAGTTCTTTCTTCTACAAATTATAGGATTCAATTTACTGGGAAAAGTTCTATTAGGTCAAATATAGGATTATCTTCGTGTTTAGCGTAGTTATGTTGGGTATATTGCTCATACTAGGTGAATACCAGCGCTACGTTGCGGGTTCTGATGTATGTTAGAAATTGGAATATAATTTTATGTCACTTATTCTGTACATTGTGTTCGTTACAGATCATATTGAGGCTGCCAGATGAAGTGGAAGTAGCGGATGAACTATGGGATGATGTAATTGATTGTATGATGTTGCGTGTTCGGGACAAAGTTCCTGTTATCCGCACATTCGCTGTCAGATCTCTTTCACGCTTTGTGAATGATCCTGAGAATAGTGACATTCTTGATTTGCTACTTGAGGTGCTTCCCCTGGAACAGAATCCGGTAAAGTGGATATCGTAAATCACATTCTCATTTTTGTCATCATGCTTGCCAAAGTCTTATTGCTGATCTTTTTATTGTTTCCAGGAGGTACGCAAAACAATTGTTTTATCTCTGCCTCCTTCAAATGCAACCACCCAAGCAATTATTGATTGCACGCTTGACGTTAATGAATCAGTACGCAAAGCAGCTTACTCTGTTCTTGCAAATAAAGTTCCTCTTCAGAGTCTGAGGTGAATTTAGGCTTAAAGCTTTGGTCTATTTATTTCTTTCTTCATTTAGTTGACCACTAAATAGAGGTTTTTTTGCTATTTTCTTCTAATAATAACTGTTCTACACTTAGCACTATTGACAAAATTTGGATTTCCTTTTTCCTGCTGTCCTTCTCTTTCTCATGACGTATTTCCTTCATTTTCCTGCTTTAGCATCAAGCTTAGGACCACAATTCTTCAGAGAGGGCTCGCTGATCGTGCTGTAAATGTTTCAGCGGAATGCTTGAAGCTAATGAAAGAGCAATGGCTATCTAACTCTTGTGGAGGAGATCCTATCGAATTTCTTAAATACCTTGACGTTGAAACCTATGAATCTGTAGCAGAATCGGCGTTGGAAGTTCTGTTGAGTGAAGGATTGATAATGCCCACCGATGATAAAAGCATCCAGCAGTACATATTGTCAGCAGATGGTGAAGCTAGAGGTTTGTTGAAGTCTGGACTGTAAATGCAATGCATAAGTTAGCAGTTTCTGCATGTGCTTATATTTTCTTATACCTGTGTTAGATGAGAGCACATGTTCTGCACCCAGCATTCAACTTATGGAGCCAGAGATTGCTCTTTACTGGAGGATTATATGCAGGAAATTACACAAAAGTGCTCAAGTAAGTTTTCAACTTACCAACTATTCATTGCTGAGGTTAGGTGCTTTATGCTTCAAACAAGGTTTTTGTGAAGCCATAAGTTCTGAAAATTTACCTGTTTTGCTGAGTTGGATGATAGTGTGCTTAAAATTGGTTTATCGATGCTCTTGATGAATTCCCTAACTTAGTGCTTGATTCATTAACCAGAGAATGCTTATTACTAGCATTATCTTGGTCGTTGGACAATCTCAATATAAATTTTTTGCGTTGATTTTCTAAACCTGGCTGGTCACCAGATCTTAAGACCAGTACCTAAAGGTGATCATATTCGTGATCCCCAACCACTATACGTAGAATTTCTATCAAAAAGCATGTCCTGTGATTTCAAGTTACACCTTTACTGCAACATTTTTATTTTTTTTATTCACTCATATCTCAAACAAAACAAGGTTACATAGATCAATGCATCTGAGGAGGCAGCACATTATTACCGTCAAAATACTAAAAAACCTATTGTCAGCTTGCTTCACCTTTTCTTGTATTGAATAGCTTTTTGTTTGAGAACACAAATATGTCCGTTAGCTTGTCCCTGGATTCACTCAAATATTGTCTACTATACAGGCTAGCATTTGAAATATAATTTTTGGATCTTGTA